TCCTATGGGCTTCCCGAGAAATTGTGCAATGGGATCACCAGCTTCCTTGCAGATCGGAGCATCAAGGTCATTGTAGAAGGTGCATGTTCTGACTACAAGCCTATTAAGGCTGGTTTTCTACAAGGCTGTGTGCTATCACCAACGCTGTTTCTTCTGCATATCAATGATATGTTGCTAACTGGTAACATTCACTGCTATGCGGATGACAGCACTGGTGATGCGCTATACACCGGCCGTGCCAATATTTCTCGGGAAAACGTCGCCGAGTACCGGAACAAACTTGTGGCTGAAGTCGAGTCCTTGCTGAACAAAGTCGCGGATTGGGGGCGACTAAATCTAGTCCAGTTTAATCCTCAGAAGACACAAGTTTGGGCGTTTACCGCTAAAAAGAACCCCTTTGTCGTATCTCCTCAGTTTCAAGGCACTCCCCTTCTTGCCTTAGCCAGTAACGGTGTCCTCGGAGTCGACATATCGAGTAACGTGCAGTTTCGTGGTCACTTGGAAGAGAAGGCCAAATTGGCCTCTACAAAGCTTGGCGTGCTCAACAGAGCGGGACAGTATTTCATGCCTGCAACTTTACAAGGCGTAGGTTCGGCCTCGCATGGAATACTGTTCCCATCTCTGGCCAGGGGCTCCCCAGTGCCAGCTCCTTCCACTTGACCGCATCCAGCGCAGAGCGGCTCGAATCGTCGACGACCGAGCCTTTTTCGATCGGCTCGATTCATTGGCACTGCGAAGAGATGTTGCATCTCTTTGCATTTTCTTTCGCATCTACCATGGGGAGTGCCCTGAGGAATTGTTCGGATTAATCCTAGCCGCCAAATTTCACGAACGCACATCGCGGCAGAACTCCCGATACCATCCACACCATCTGGATGATTGGCGGTCCACCACTGTGCGATTTAGATGTTTTCTTCCTCGCACAACTTCCTTGTGGAATAGTTTACCACCAGCGATTTTTCCGGACCGATACGACTTAGGGACCTTCAAGAAAAGAGCCTACTCCTTTTTAAAAGGCCGGCAACGCATCTGCAATTCCCCTGGTGTTGCGGTTGTTCATGGGCGGCGGTAGTCACTTACCATCAGGTGACCCGCATGCTCGTTTGCCCCTCTCCTATAAAAAAAAATATGTCGCTACTTCACGAGACTCATCCACTGCGTTGATTAAATAAGTTCGGTGCAGCATTGCATTTTTCTTGCTTATTTTTTCGTTGTAATTGTCGACTTGCCTGGCCGTGGGAAAGATATGAACGGCGACTCCATCCGCAAATTCATCATTTATAGGCACGTGGCGCCACTCGCATAGTAATTCCAGCTGAGCCGTCGTCAATTCACCTACCCGTAAGCAGTTCAATAAATCGATGAATTCGCTATCATTACGCTGTCGCATGTTTATGGTCAGTTCACAAAAAGAAAACTGATGCCAGAAATTGACCTCCACCGAAAACCACGATGGCTGCACAAAATACCAATTCCCTTTCACCGAAGGAAGCCCAAATACTAAAATGTTGACTCCACCGAATAACTTCTCGTTGTTTTTGTATTCTTGGAGCCTTACGTGAATTATTCTTAAGTTCTCATAGGAGACCATAGAAATTTCGTCTATGACGTTATGACGTTTCGTTTATAAAGCGCTATTTACGCCTTTCACTCTCGAGTCTTTGACCTGTAATTTTTTTGTATGTTATAGAAATTTTTTTTCAATCGGAAGCAAGAAAATATAAAAAATAATTGCCAAATATTTGACGAGCGGCAACCCCGGCTAACGACCCAAATTCCACAAATCTAGGCTTAAGCAGTATATCTACTGTTGGTGCGTAACAACGCCTAATGTGCTCCACGATTAATTTCACTAAAAATAATTTACCACTACCTGCACCGCCCGTGATAAAAATAACAGCTGACTTTCTTGTCCATGCAAATCGTTTTCGATTGCCGTTGAAACTTTCTGAAATAAATCCTTCTGTTAGATATTTAATCCTCGAATGCTTCCTAGGAACAATTCTTCTGATATGACGGCTCGTTCTTCCATGTCTTCACAAAAGTTATCATCGTCATGTAAAATTTGTTTACCCACACATAACAAGGAAGCATTGCCTATATCGGTTTCAAGCGCAGCATTAAGCGCAGTAGCTTGCGCAACAGCCTGTTGAATAATTAATTCAGCATGACCAAATTGTTCTGCACTGATGTCACCCTGCAACGGGCGAAGATCCCCTTTTCGTCTTTTAAAACAGTCTTCAGTGGTTTCATTTTCAAATAGTAATGCGCCGTCATTACGAAATGGTATATGGCATACTAATAAACTGTAAAAATATGCTTCTTTGTAACTATTAATTGTATAATAGCGGGTACGTAACACTGCCGGTCTATTTCTTACACGCATTCTCGTATTGTCCTGCAATCTGATATACCTCTCTAGCGTAATATCTTCGTCTCTCAGTTCCGCATCCCCATTGTCCTCTGACCATGTCGTGTTAGAGACGGTTTCAAAACGGACGGCAAATTCCGCAAGGCTTAAATTCACTAGCTCGTTTGGGCCTAATACATAACGATCAAAAATATTATTGTAAATACTGGTTTCATCACTGTCATATCCCAGAAGTCTGTACCGTTCCTCCGGCCTGCAACTATTTACAAAAACAGTCCTTCGCGACGACATTTTCAATAGCAAATGGCATAATCTGTAAGCGCATTCGGGCGCACTTACCAAACTTCGACGTGTTAGAGCCATGCTGCAGCTATATTAATAGTGTAGTTGTAGCACGAATAGGTCGGCTCGACCGGGGAAGGACCAGGCTCTCACAGAATACCAGCGTAAAATAGCAGCTTAATGCTGCTGTGTTTTGTGTGGTGAGTGTAGAGAACCGGAGACCCTTTTTACTGGAAAAGAGGCATTCCATCTTAGTCCTCAGGGGTGACAGCGCATTTGCATTTTGATTCATAAACGAGGATAAAGGTAGATGTCTATGGGCCACAGCAACCACTTACCATCAGGTGGACTGTGTGCTCGTTTGTCACCCTATCCTAGAAAAAAAAAGCGTTTATTTAAAATAGTTATTGATACTGAAAACAATTGTTTCCAAACATCACCACCTTGTCTTTAAGCATTCGAGGTAGTTTCTCGAATTATATCACCTGTGTCATGTGGTTTGCATTTACTGGCATATTTTGCGACGTAGTAGGCCACAACGGTGACATTACCACACGGTTGCACGTCAATATTTCCCTTCCATAGATTTAAAAGAACCGCATTGTAATTGTTTACCATGGTTTCATTTGAGGTTCGTTTCAATATACAAAATCGTCCATTGTTAGCAAGTGCTTCATCTGGTCCAAGACAAACGGTGTTAACTGGCTTTGGAAAATCAAATCGACAACCATCAGGTTGGCAATTTTTTTTCTGTGTGTTTATGAATCATTAGGAGTTAATGAACATGAAACCACCCTTTCAATTACAGCAACTCCTTCTGAAGTGGTGAAATTCGGGAAATTACTACACCAGACTAACATATGCAGATGTGGGCTACCGCGAATTTGAAACTCCACTCGGTACCAAATAAGACCACCCAAGCAATCTTCGTTTCTCTTTAAGAATCGCATGAGAGCGTTAACACGTACTGTGAACTGTCGTGCTAACAATACAGGATGTTTTTGCACTAGGTTCAAGCGCTCCGAGAATGACAGGCGATCAACGTCATCGATATCACGTCCATCAGTGATTAGCAAGGCTTGTCTGGCCAATGTAAATCATTGCAGGAATATGTTTAAAACCATGTGAGAGGCCTAAAGTTCTAACCATACCAATCAATTCAGAGCAACATTTCTGCCAATATGATGCCGATCCTCTAATATTTCTCATAGTGAGATGCATATTATCCACAAGTCCCTGTAGTGTTTGCTCTCCATGACCTTGTCGCATCCTACATGACACAGATACGCTTGATTTCCCACGAAAATATTCAACAATGTATAGAGCATAAAATAAATAATCATTTTTGTTGAACCTCTTGTCAATACTCATTACACGGTTTCGGAAGTAATCAACGGGGGTATACGCATTTTCTCTTTCCTCGCCAAAGCCATTCCTGCCATTTGGAAAAAGAAAATACCAACATAATTCCTCCATACGGCGTTCACGTTCCAAATTCAAGGGAGGTGCAGTTTTCTTTGTGATTGCGGCCAATCTCATTGTATCATCGGTTGAAGAGCTATTCATATTAACAACATTTTCTAAATTAGGTACGTTATCGTCTATATGTTGGAGCATACCTAATGATTCGATATAAATGGTGCTCAAGGAATTATGGACTGGTAATGGCAACTGAAAATGGGTTGATTTTACCGGAACTGTTTTTTGGATAGACTGAATGACTTGTGTTGTTATTTGGAGAGTATTACTTGTTTGTATTATCAGTTGAAAAGAATCGTTTGGTGTAAATATTGGACTCTCTAACCTTGACGATTGTTCCAATATTGGCGTAATCGTTTGTATTTGGGAGTCTGGAGCTTTTTGTATTATCGTTTGGAGTGAATCGTTTGGTGTAAATGTTGGACTCTCTTACCTTGACAATTGTTCCCATATTGGCGTAATTGTTTGTAATTGGGAGTCTCGAGCTATAACTAATGATGTTAACGAGAACACATTAAGATTATCTCGAACGTTTCCTTCTGGCATTTTTTTGGCGACACAAATACATTGCGACGTAAAATAGCATGCAAATCATCCAGTTCACTAAATTGCATGCAACAAGCGGTACAATTTATGGTAGCGGAAGCCCCTTTGGGACCCCTCGCATGGGAATCAAACAAAAAGTAAGTTTGATTATCACCTGAAGTTCTGCAATTCACTGCTATCGAGATGGCGTTTGCTGTAAGTATTTCATTGGAGTGTTCTCTGAAAAAACTTAATAATGCATTTTTTAAGATAGGGAATCCATCGGAAGTGTTATCATTGTCTATGTGACCATTATGATTGGTTTCCTCAAGAACTGTGATCATTAAATTTTGTCTATTATATATAAGTCCTGGACTAAGATCTGAAAAGCAAGGTACTCAGGATTTACTTCGCCGGGCGCAGGATTATCTCTAGCAGCGATGCAGTCATTATAGTATTTATCGCCAATGATTACAATGAAATCATTATCACTTTTGGCCCACTTGTTTGGATCTAATACGCTAAATGCTGCACAAACAACAGCTGCTATCCCAGTACATTGCTTACCCCGAGATAAATTAAATCTTAAAGCCTTGTTGTCATTTAAAGTGATATAATGTTGTGATGAAGTTTCAGAAGCAACGCCATCCTGTTCAGGAATAGAATTTTCAGCTATTTGTAATATATGAGGAATGTTTAAAGTAGTTTCAAAATGCACCTAAACATCTCTGTAAAGATGGTTATTGGAAATTAACCAAGTTAATGCTCGATTCAGTCTTTGCATATCCACGACGAATTCTTTAGAACATGAAAGGTTATCAAGACTTTCCACTTCTAAAACTAAGCCAGCTTGATTTGGTGTCAGTGGTAACTGTTCGGCTATTTCCACAACATCCTTTACAAATAGAATGACCTGCCCTTTGCACCAATTTTGACTGAAACGGTTATTAAGTTTTACAATCTTTAAAAACGGTACGATGCGGCTCAAAAATCATTTATATATCATTTTATACGTGGTAGAGCAATGCTGCAGCTATATTAGTGGTGTAGTTGTAGCACGAATGGGTCGGCTCGACCGGGGAAGGACCACGCTCTCACAGAAAACCAGCGTAAAAAAGCAGCTTAACGCTGCTGTGTTTCGTATGGTGAGTGTAGAGAACCGGAGACCCTTTTTACTGGCAAAGAGGTATTCCATCTTAGTCCTCACGGGTGACAACGCATCTGCATTTTGATTCGCAAAGGAGGATAAATGTAGATGTCTATGGGTCGCAGTGGCCACTTACCATCAGGTGGACTGTGTGCTTCTTTGTCACCCTATCATATAAAAAAAATCGTTCTTCAACGCTCGTCAAATTGGCTAATTCAGGCGGTAATTCTGCGGGCATCATTTTTTTCCAATGTACAGTTGTTGGAATTTTTCTTTTCCTAACAATATTATTACATCGAGAGCACGTAGTTATTGTACCTAAAGCAACCAGTTCTTCAGGTAATAGTATACTATACATATTTGCTCGTAAATTGGAACGCTGTTGTGGATAAAGACTTCTTTTACAAATAGCGCATGGTACATCAGCAAAAATAATAATAGCCGCTTCAAAAGAGTGTTCATTAGCGATGTCCCTACAAGCTTGACTGGCTTGTTGCATTCTACTAAGTCGAACTGAACGAGTTTCAGGTGTTTGGTTTGCTAAGCGATCGTGAATTAATCCGAGTCGGTAAGCAGTTTGCTCTTCCATTTCATTGAATAGACGATCATGGATGAAGCCGATACGGTGGGCACGTTGCTCTTCCATCTCATTCGATATACGAATGTGGATCACACCGAGGCGGTGAGCATGTTGCTCTTCCATCTCATTCGATAGAAGATCGTAGATCACGCTGAGGCGGTAGGCACGTTGCTCTTCCGTCTCATTCGATAGACGATCGTGGATCACGCCAAGGCGGTGGGCACGTTGCCTTTGCGTCTCATTCGATAGACGATCATGGATCATGCCAAGGCGGTGAGCACGTTGCTCTTGCGTCTCATTCGATAGACGATCGTGGATCATGCCAAGGCGGTGGGCACGTTGCTCTTGCGTCTCATTCGATAAACGATCGTGGATCACGCCGAGGCGGTGGGCACGTTGCTCTTCCGTCTCATTCAATAGTCGATCGTGGATCAAGCCGAGACGGAGAGTACGTTTTTCGATATTTTCCCTGCACAAAACTTTTTTCACGTAAGCCCGCATTATTGAAAGCCTATTTTTGTGCTCTTCACAAGTCTCTTTTGAAATGTTTCTTGAGGTAAATTTCCTCTTTTGAGATATGCGTTTCTCCCTATCTTCGTTTGTCTCATTTAAACGGCGTTGCGTTGTCTCATATGAGCAGTGCGTTTGCTAGGTCTACCCATTTTCATACAAATAAAATCAGTTATCGAACTTCAGAATCACTAGAAATAGAGAAATAAACAAAAATTTTAACAAAATAGAATACCGACTTCAAAACAAAATATTATAAAACACTAAATGCACTAAAAATTGTAAAAAATAATTGCGTATTCTTGTATCTATAACCTAATAATTTGATTGTCTTTTAAGCAGTCTACACATATGTTTGAAAATTTTTGCTTAGTTGAACACTTAAAAAATATTTTTATAATTGTTTGTTAATCATAGGTATGTGTTGAATTAGATGTGAAGTTTAAGTCTGTACCTACTTCTTGCGTGGTAAACGCATAGATCGTACATTGAGTAGAAAAAATAAGTTGATTGTAAGTTGTAGATACAAGAATACGCAATTATTTTTAAACTTTTTAGTCCATTTATTGTTTTATAATAATTTGTTTTGTAGTCAGTATTCTATTTTGTTAATTTTTTTTTTACTGAAAACGAATCATTCCATTTAAATCGCCAGGGTGACAACGCATCTACATTTTGTTTCTTAACCAAGTATCGATATAGGTGTCTATTGCTTCCCTCCACCCCTTCCCCCCGAATGGGTTCCCGCCTTATTGTTGCAGAGAGGCAGTAGTTTGGTCACCCGTGGTGAACTAAGAGGAGCCCACATGGCTGGTCCGAGGAGTAATGCCAGCCCGAGGTGGCCACTCCGGATGGGCTCTGCGAGCTCACTTCACTACCGCTGCAGCCGAGGTGGAGTCGCGGGGGAGGAGGAGTGTAGGCGTATAGCGATGCGCCACTCGCTTATCCTCCACGATTCTGACGGGGCCGCACCGATTGATGTGGTGGTTGTAGGGCTTCGGGGGGAGAAGAGTGCCAGTATTGCGAGGCGCCGCTCTACCAAACCTCCACATCTGAATCTTGGTTGGCGGCGAAGCCAAAGACGAGATCCGCCGCTGGGGTCAGGAAGGCTAGTTCTTTTTGCACGCTATATGTTCTGTCGTCCTCTCCCGAGGAGCAGCCGCCATATGGCAGCCAGCGCTGGTGGAGCTAGGGATGTGTGCGAAATCGTTTCCGTGGCCCTGCCAATATGCGACGAAGGTGGAACGCCATGGGGTTTTAGTCGGAGCGAGTCCGACATACCCGTCCTTGCCCCCACGAGGCGGGTATGCATAGACACTTCCCCATGTAAGAATAGGTGTCTATGGGCCACAGCGTCCAATTATCATTAGGTTTACGTGGTATTAGGTTTTACGTTGTAGAGCCATGCTGCAGTTATATTAGTTATACTACTTGTAGAACGAATGTGTCAGCTCGACCGTGGTAGGAAAACGCTCTCACAGAAATCCAGCGTAAAATATCAGCTTAACGCTGCTGTATTTCGTATAGTGAGTGTAGAACACCGGAGACCCTTTTTACTGGACACGAGTCTTTCCACCTTAGTCCTCAAGAGTGACAATGTATCTGAATTTTGATTCTTAATCGAGAACAAATGTGCTTATGGGCCACAGCATTCGCTTACCATCAGGTGTACTGTGTGCTAGTTTGTTACCAAAAAATACAATTGACCCTGCAGTCCATCTCTGGACCTTTCCGCTTATTTCAAATGCAAAGCACTCCAAATTCTACCTATAATTACGTATTTCAGCTCTTCTCAAAAACTTAATGCGCGCTACACTACACTACGCCTACCGGTGCGAGGCTGCCACTCGAGAGTAGGGTTGCCATCTGTCCGGCTTTAGCCGGACATGTTTGGCTTTTTCGGGTTGTGTCCGGTTTTTGTTAGGCTTTTTGTTAGTGTAGAATAGAATAGAATAGAATATTTTTTATTCAATATACATTACATGTGTAATTCTTAAAGAAAGTCATTTTTTACTTTACCACTGGTTCGAAAAAAACCCTCTGTCCTGGGAAGAACCAGCAAGAAACCTAGCGAGACTTTTTTTTTTAAATAAATTTTACTAATAAATGATTACGAACTATTTACAAAATTTATTTTAGAAACTGCTTGGAAGCGATCACCTCATTCCCAGGGGTTATTATCAACCATGTATTCATTTATACTATAATAACCCTTTTTATACAGTTTCAGCTTAATGAAACATTTAAACTTGGTAATAGAGAGAACCTGTACATTTTCCGGGACCTTATTGTAATAGCGTATACATTGCCCCAAGAATGAATTACTGACTCTGTGGAGTCGAGAAACTGGTATCACTAGCTTGTGTTTGTTCCTAGTGTTTACAGAATATATATCACTTCTTTTACTAAAACTATCTTTGTTTTTGTGAACATACATTAAATTTTCGTAAATATACTGAGAGGCCAAAGTTAATATATTAATTTCTTTAAATTGATCTCTAAGAGACTCTCTCGGTTTTAGATTGTAAATAGCTCTAATGGCTCTCTTCTGTAAAACAAAAATAGTTTCTGAATCAGCCGCATTTCCCCATAACAAAATCCCATAACACATTATACTATGAAAATAACTAAAATAAACTAATCTAGCTGTCTCGGCACTAGTGAGACCTCTAATATTTTTTTCAGCATAGGCTGCAGAACTTAGTCTGCTTGCTAATTTGGATATATGGGGGCCCCACTGGAGCTTTGCGTCAAGAGTGATGCCAAGAAAAACAGTGGATACAACAGGGCTCAATTTCTCCCCATTTAAAAACACATTGGTATTCAGATTTTTAACATTCGTTGTTGTAAATTTAACACAATTAGTTTTATTTCCGTTCAAATGCAGATTATTAACGTTAAACCAATGCACTAATTTTGATATAGCATTATTCACTTCGTCACATTTAAATGATTGACGTTTAAATTTAAAAATCAAGGAAGTATCATCAGCAAATAATACTATATCATGACTATCCCCTACAAGGTGAGGTAAGTCATTAATATACACCAGAAACAGAAATGGGCCGAGAATCGAGCCCTGAGGAACACCCATTAGTACAGGTGCAGGTGATGGAGGTGCAGGAGTGTAATGCGTTGCACGCATCGCTTGCAGAATGAGCGAAGCAATGCTGAATTTATCTATCCATATACATTATTACCAGCCAGCAAAATATAGATTATTATTTAAAGTTTTAATTGTACCTGATAATTGAAATAATAAAATTTACTTTGTTGTAGTTTCTAATTTTTTATCTTGAAATATGAGTAGTTTTTTAAAATTTGTTTTGTGAAAATGAAAATAAAAAAATTGTACTTTGTTTAGAAGTGTAATTTTATTTGCTTTTTTTTTATAAAGTCTACAAACAGAAGACTGATTTTGTTGATTGTTATTGTAAGTAGGTAATAAGTGGTTTGAATTTATTTCAATCTGTGCTGTGATTGATTAATAAATAAGTAACGTATACACTTGAAACTGTGCTGTGATTGATTAATAAACAATTAACGTATGTAACGGAGTATTTTAGTTTTTTTTCTCGGGGGGTTGGAATTGGTGGGTTTTTTGGCTGCATAGCCTCAGAAAGGTATGTTTGGCTTTCTAAAAATTACTGTCCGGCTTTTAGGGCCAAAAGTCCGGCTTTTTGGAGCGCCGAGTCCGGCTTTTTCATTTTAGGAGATGGTAACCCTACTCGAGAACCTTTTTTTCCCCATCGGTTTTCGGTTCTTTGATCTATATGGCCGGCCCATTGCCAATTCAACTTACTAATCCGTTGGGCTATGTCGGTCTCTCTGGTTATACTGCGGATATCCATATAATTAACAGTGGTAGAGCCACGCGGCAGCTTTTGCTGTCGCACGGATGGGCCGGCTCGAACCGGAGTAGTACAACGACCTCACAGAAAACCAGCGTGAAGTAGAAGTTTACCTCTGCGTTTCGCTTGGTGAGTGCAGGTGGCCGGAGGCCCTTTTTACTGGAAATGAGGCATTCCATCTTAGTTCTCACGGGTGACAACGCATCTACATTTTGATTTGTAACAGAGGATAGATGTAGATGTCTATGGGCCGCAGCAACCACTTACCATCAGGTGGACTGTGTGCTCGTTTGTCACCCCTATCCTATAAAAAAAAATATCCTCATTTCTAAGTCTATCACGCAGAGAAACCCTAAGTCATTTATATCTAAACAGATAAATAAAATTGAAGTGTCTGTTTGTAATGTCGAAATAACAGATTTTTAATATATGCATATGAAAGTATATACGATACTTATAACAAAAAAACGATTTTTAAAAATTTTGTCTGTCTGTCTGTTTGTTCCGGCTAATCTCTGAAATGGCTGGACCGATACTGACCGGACTTTCACTGGCAGATCGCTCATGTAATAAGAAGTAACATAGGCTACTTTTCTTTTAGAAAAATAATTAGGGTTCCGCGCAAAAAATTAATACCCCAAATAACACGTGGGCGAAGTCGCGGGGAACAGCTAGTTATATATATATATATATATATATATATATATATATATATATATATATATATATATGTTACAATTTTTGAATGAATTTTTATAGAACCAGCATGGTGGCGATCACCTCATTCTCAGGGGTTATTTTCATTTATATTATAATCACCCTTTTTGTACAATTTTTCTTTAATAAAACATTTAAACTTGTTTACAAACATCCAGATCCAGAACAATTATTTGTAGGCCATACAAATACTTGTTCCGTGCGGGATTCGAACCCACGGACTCCAGCGCAGCAACTCATTGCTAAGCCTGTGCGCCACGGTGTAACGATAACGTAAGGACGGATAAGTAAGTTACAGTTTTATTTCTTTATAGTTAGGTAGGTACTTACCGAACACACTTATATTTTTTATTACTAAGTGCTTGGCTTCTGCACTTCGGGTCGCGGGTTCGATCCCCATACGGAACAAATATTTTAATGGCT